TTTATACTGCTTTTTTTTTTTTTTATCAATAATCTTATTTTCTCATTGATTTTTCACCTAGTTAGTGTGTATTTAAGGTGGAAATTGGGACTTTGAGGTTAGGAATTTGGAGAGATGATTTGAGAAATTGAGTGGCGATTTGGTGTCGGATTTTGGTAATTTTGGTATGGGTGAACTCGTGGTCAAGTGGGTATTCGTATTTTGTGACTTTTACCCGTTTTCGAGACGGGGCTCGGGTTGACGTTTTGGGCCGAATTTTTGATTTGTTGCTAAAGTCGTAGTTTCATTATTGAAATTAGTTTCTTGTAGTTGTATTCATGTTATGTAATTGCTTTTAGCTAGATTTGGGCCATTCGGAGTCGGAAAGTCGAGGGAAAGTCATTCTTACCGATTGATTGAGCGAGATTTGAGGTAAGTGACTTGTCTAACTTTGTGTGGGGGAAATCCCCTTAGGATTTGGTACTGTTAAAACAATTTGTGATATATGAGCGTCGTGTACGCGAGGTGACAAGTGCGTACACGGGCTGATTATGGAACAAAATGGTTCTTGCTGATTTGTCATCTTTTAAAATACATTAACTGAGTTATCTTCTTTTAAAATACATTAACTGAGTTGCCTTAGCATATGTAGTGATCATGCTTAGTCTAGCATCGCATGTATACGTGCCTTAACTTTTACTTGTAATTTGTGCAGCATGCTTAGTTGAATTACCTGCTTCCCTTGATTTGAACTAAATCTTCAACTGTAAGGTTCTTGCTGAAAATTTATGTTTTCCTTCGATTACCTGCTGCATATTTACTTTAGGACAACGAGGCGATTCCTCGGGAGATCCCTCTGTACTGCATATTTACTTTGGGACTATGAGGCGTTTACTCGGGAGATCCCCATGTACTGCATATTTACTTTGGGACTACGAGGCATTTACTCGGGAGATCCCACTGTCTTGCATATTTACTTTGGGACTACAAGGCAGTACCTCGGGAGATCCCTCCCCCCCATGTTGTGCATATTTATATTTGGGACTACGAGGCGGTACCTCGGGAGTGCCCCTGTTCTTTACCTCTATTTACTGTGTTGATATTTTCTGAAACTTCTTATTGTTTAAATTCTCAGTCATTTCAAAATATTATTATATCTTTTGCCTTACTCTTCTTTCAAACTAGTAGGGCCCTGACCTGACCTTGTCACTACTCTACCGAGGTTAGGCTTGGCACTTACTGGGTACCGTTGTAGCGTACTCATACTACACTCTATACATCTTTTTGTGCAGATCCCGGTTCTTCCCACCAGACCAGATACTAGTGAGTTGGACCACACGTGGAGACTTCAAGATATATCTACCAGCGTCCGCAAACCTCGGAGTCCCCCTCTATCCTTAGTATGTTATTTCCCTGATTCTCTTTAGACTTGATGTGTAGAGACACTTAGTATTTCTATTAGAAGCTTGTGACTTGTTTCCACTGGGTTTTGAGAGTTGTAATTATTGAATGACAGTTTTATATATTTATATATCATGTGTTGAGATTGGAGTTCAGTTTATTATTCATTTATTCGGCAAATTGTTAGGCTTACCTAGTCTTAGAAACTAGGTACCATCACGACATCCTACGGAGGGAAAAATAGGGTCGTGACAGGCTGACTGCATTGCTCAATGTTATTTTCAGGACGAAGAGGATGCCGGATGAGTGGAGGTGGAGTACGGTGGTACCGTTGTACAAGAACAAAGGTGACATTCAGTATTGTAACAACTATAGGGGTATCAAGTTACTTAGTCATACCATGAAAGTTTGGGAGAGGGTGGTAGAAGTAAGGGTGAGGAGGATTGTGTCTATATCTGACAACCAGTTTGGGTTCATGCTTGGTCGATCGACTACGAAAGCTATCCACCTTATTAGGAGGTTGGTGGAACATTACAGGGATAGGATGAAAGATCCGCACATAGTGTTTATTGACCTGGAGAAAGCATATGATAGGGTCCCTAGGGAGGTTCTCTGGAGATGCCTGGAGGCAAAAGGTGTGCCGGTAGCTTACATTAGGGCGATCAAGGACATGTATGATGGAGTTAAGACTCGGGTTAGGACAGTGGGAGACGACTCGGAGCATTTCTCGATTTTTATGGGGTTACATCAAGGATCTGCGCTCAACTCATTCTTATTTGCCCTGGTGATTGATGCACTGACACACCACATTCAAGAGGAGGTGCCATGGTATATGTTATTTGCTGACGACATAGTTCGGATTGATGAGATGCGAGGCGATGTTAACGACAAACTGGAGGTTTGGAGGCACACCCTTGAGTCTAAGGGTTTCAAATTGAGCAGGACCAAGACAGAATATTTGGAATGCAAGTTCAGCGCCGAGTCGGGGGAAGTGGGAATGGACGTGAGGCTTGGAGCACAGATCATCCCCAAGAGAAGT